CCTATTATGCTAATGAGTTCCTGCTGGGCGTGGCCAACTCGGGAGCCAGCCGGAACTCCGTTCCTGTGCGTTCCTGCCCAAAAATAGCCCTGCCCAGATCAATGGATCAAGATGGGCAGCCATGTTAGTCTGTCTGTAGTAGGAAAAAAGGGCAAGACTCCAAGAGAACCTTAAAGACTAACCAAATTTGTGGCAGGGTGTGAGCTTTCGTGAGCCACTGCTCACATCTTCAAATACAGCTAGAATGTGATAGATCAAGATGGGTAGCCATGTTAGTCTGTCTGTAGCAAGAGAAAAGAAGAAGAGATTGGATTTATACTCCGCCCTTCACCACCCAAGGGAGTCTCAGAGCGGCTTACAATCTCTTTTCTCTTCCCCTCCACACAACAGACACCCTGTGAGGTAGGTGGGGCTGAGACCGCTCTTTCAAGAACCGCTTGTGAGAGAACAGCTCTGAGAGAACTTGTGATTGACCCCAGGTCATACCAGCAGCTGCATGTGGAGGAGTGGGGAATCAAATCCGGTTCTCCCAGATTAGAGTCCGCACCCCTAACCACTACACCAAAAGAGCAAGAGTCCAAGAGCACCCTAAAGACTAACAAAATTTGTGACGGGGGTGAGGTTTCGTGAGCCATGGCTCACTTCTTCAGATATAGCTAGAATGTGAGTCCATCTGTCCTTATATATTGGAGAGGGGAGTGGTTTTAGATGCTGAATGACAATAGCAGGTGAATTCACCGCTATTGTCATTTGCCTGCTATCATCATTCGGCATCTGAAACCACTCCACTCTCCAAGGTATAAGGACAGATGGATTCACATATCTGAAGAAGTGAGCCGTGACTCATGAAAACTCATACCCCGCCACAAATTTTGATAGTCTTTAAGGTGCTACCAGATTAATGGGGTAATAAGTAGTAATTAATTAATTAGAAATTAATGGGGTAGGAAATGGGGCAGCAAGCTTTAGAAGGAAGAAAAGTCGATAGATCAGCTTATTCACTAGCAGGGGGCCTAATATGAATTAGCGTGTCTTGAGTCCGAAGAAGCCGCTTATTTGTCCTTTTAAAAAGCTATTCTAGTCCCTGTGTAATTTAAAAACTGCCTGGGTTCTGGGGCGTTGCCGTCAATCAGGAATTTTAAAGAGTCAGTGGAAAAGACAACCATGCTAGGAAAAGTTGAAGGCTGAAGGAAAAGAGGAAGACTCAAGATGAGGTCGCGGTGGCTCAGAGGTTAAGACGCTGAGCTGCAGACCAGAAGGTCTGTAGTTCGGCAGTTTGAGACCCAAGTGCCGCGTGACGGAGTGTGCTCCCATCGCTGGCCCCAGGTCCTGCCAACCTAGCAGTTCGAAAGCAAGAAATTGCAAGTAGATAAATAGGTACCGCTTCGGTGAGAAGGTAACAGCGTTCCGCGCCTCGGCGTTTAGTCATGCCGGCCACATGACCATGGAAACGCCTTCGGACAGCGCTGCCTCTTCAGCTTAGAAACGGAGATGAGCACCGCAACCCTAGAGTCGGATTCAACTAGCTTTCAAGCAAGGGAAACCTTTGCCTTTTACGAGATGAGATGGACTGACTCAAATCAAGGAAGCCACAACCTTCAGGGTGCAAGGCCTGAGCAAAGCTGTGAACGAGAAGACGTTTCGGAGGACGTTCATTCATCGTTTCGCCACAAGTCCCGAAAGACTTATTATTTATTTATTTATTTATTTATTTTTTACACTTGTATCCCGCCCTCCCCAGTGGGCTCAGGACGGCTAACAGAGGCCAGATCGTTAGTCTAGCCATAAGTAAAAACATATAAAAACACAATAAAAACATCAATACTAAGACCAAAGTGCTCTGTCCAGTTACTAGTGTCCTAAGTCCAAGATGGTATCCCCGCAGCTCGAGCTGGTACTCTTGGCGTACATATCCAGTGGCGGTGGCATATCCGATCTTCTGCAATGCTTCCTCGAGCCTCGTCCGTGTATCCATTCAGATGTCTTGATGGTGGTGGTACAGTAGGGCGGCGGCTCCTACTCAAAAGCCTGGCGGAAGAGCTCCGTCTTACAGGCCCTGCGGAACTGCTCAAGGTCCCGTAGGGCCCGGATCTCCCCCGGGAGCTCATTCCACCAGGTAGGAGCCGCCACCGAAAAAGCCCTGGCCCTGGTCCCGACTAGTTTGACATCCTTGGGGCCCGGTATAACCAGTACATTTTGGGCCCCGGACCATAGTGCTCTTGGGGAAACATGTTGGGTAAGGCGGTCCTTCAGGTAAGCTGGACTTGATGGCCCGTAATGGCCACACAGCCTTGATTCCCATAAACTTTCTATTTCGTTCAACTGTTGATGGTCTCTTCTGTCAAACTCTCGCCCAGGCATGTATATTAAGGTTTCTGTGCACTTAACTCATTAAATAAATACTTCTCCAGCTACAATTCTTTATTAATAAGCAGCACTTCTGGGCATTCCCCAAATCTTACTCCGACAGCCTAACCAGTACGCCACTTTGGCTGTTTGGTGTAGTGGCTAAGAGCCAGTGTGGTGTCGTGGATAAGAACGGTGGACTCTAATCTTTGATTCCCCACTCCTCCACATGCAGCTGCTGGTGTGACCTTGGGTCAGTCACAAGTTCTCTCAGAGCTGTTCTCTCAAGGGCAGTCCTCAAAAGATCTCCCTCAGCCCCACCTACCTCACAGGGTGTCTGTTGTGGGGAAGGGAAGTAAAAGGAGATTGTAAACCACTCTGAGACTCCTTCGTGTAGTGAAGGGCAGGGTATGAATCCAATCTCTTCTTCTTCTTTTCCTTCATCAGATCTTGGGAGCCCAAGTTCAGGGGTGTCGAACTCATTTGTCACTTTGTTGGGCCGGGCCATGTGTGTAACACAAAGTACTCTCTAGTACTTTGTGTTACATTTTTATGGCACGCATGGAGAGAAGCTCTCTCCCTCTCTCACAAGACGCTGCCTTGTAAAGAATCTGACGGTTGGTCCATCAAAGCCAGTATTGTCTACTCAGACTGGCAGTCGCTCTCCTGGGTCCCAGGCAAGAGGTCTTCCACATCACCCTAAGGACCTGATTTTTTTTAGGTGGAGATGCCAAAATGCCACAGCCCCTCTAAGATGTGTGGGGTTCATTCATACATACTTTTTTTCAGGGCTCTTTTTGTAGAAAAAGCCCAGTAGGAACTCATTAGCATAATAGGCCACACCCAACAGCAGAAACTCATTAGCATATTAGGCCACACCCCTGACAGCACAGCTCATTGTCACATTAGGCCACACCCCCATGTTACCAGAAGTGTGGTTATCCA